ATACATACATACATACATACATACATACATACATACATACATACATACATACATACATACATACATCTGTAGGTGGCGGTAAGTGCGCCTTAAGTTGGTTGCCATCCACCGTTAAAAAAAAGAAGAAGAAAAACAAGGCTCTTTCCATAGGCTTTGACTGGTTCGCGCGCTCACTTTGAGTTTCTTGAGAGACTTGAAAGCAGCAACACTCTGCGATTTGGAGAGAAGAAAGCGCCAAAACTTTCTTTCTAGCAATAAACAGCTACTCCGCTACAAACATGCATGTGATTAAAAGAGGTATTGTAACCAAGTTAACTTCTTTTTTTCCTTTTTTGGTTTCAGATAATTAACTGCAATAATACGCTGTTTAGGGTTATTGTTATACAATAATGTTTATGCAATCTCTCCCAATATTTGCAGAGTGAAAGATGGATGGAGTGTTTCACTCTAGTTTCCTTTCAGAAAGTCTAGTTCAGATGTGTTTTTGTTTCTGTGCAGTTTCCGCCGAAACATTGAACAAAGACTCCGCTTATGAAATGTCTGTTGTTGACTTCTTTGTTTGCTCGAAGATTTTCTCTTAGTTAATTTCTCTTAACATTGTATATTTAAAATAACGTTGTTTTTTATAAACTAAAGCTAAAAGTATTAATTGACTAGTGACGGTTGCATTATTGGCGCGCACCTTCTGTTGTATCTCGTCAAACAGGTGTTCATTAATTGCTCTGCGGGCTCACCCATCTGAGCCGCGCCAAACAAACTCAGCAATCATTTAGCTGCTCTGATTGATATAATAAATACCAAACCCTCTCTTGTATTTTCAGATGGGCGCCATGAGGCAGTTAGTTTTGATAAAATCACTTCCCGCATCCAGAAGCTCTGCTATGGACTCAACAGTGACTTTGTGGACCCTGTAAGTGTAGAGAAATGAGTTAAACTGGATTCTATAATCTGCCTTAACCTGCATCATGTAACCGCTCCTCTGTATTTCTGCAGGCCCAGATTACAATGAAGGTGATCCAGGGTCTGTACAGCGGGGTCACCACTGTGGAGCTGGACACCCTGGCTGCAGAGACCGCTGCCACCCTTACCACCAAACATCCTGACTATGCAATCCTGGCCGCTCGGATCGCGGTTTCCAACCTGCACAGAGAGACCAAGAAGGTTTTCAGTGGTATGAATGCTTTTCATGTGTAGTTACAATCGTCCTGTTCTATAACCATTCAGTGCATAGTTGTGCAATGTATAATGTGCAATTACTATTTGATTCCCAGTTCAATAACCTGTTTCTCTAAATTTGACACCCAGTGCAATAACTATATATACAATGATATAAATATAAATTTATATAAATACCCTGTGCAATAATCCCATATAATAATTCTACTAAAAAAGAAGCAGTCATATGTGGACTATGTACTATATATAGGGGAGTGTTGGCCAAATGGGTTAGAGCAGTGCGCTTGTGCTCTGAGAAGTACCCAGTCGATCCCCACAGCTTCCACACTGCTCCCCAGGCGATTATTTATATAGATGTATAATCTCATGCACCTTTTTCTTCCTTTGACTGTTTGAGCTGATTTAACAAGTACATTTCTCCACTGTGAGATCAATAAAGTTAATCAATCGATGCTTTAGAAAAGTATTCAACCCCCCTGAATGATTATATATTTTATCATATTACATCAACATTATTGTTGTGTTTTTTTTTTGTTGTTGTTGTTTTTTTTTAACTGAAGCATGCTGCTTCATTTGTATGCTCGTAAGTTTAAATCTAGCATGCGGCTGAAGCATCTTTGCTGCTCTAGCTGAGCGGTCAAAAACTGGGTCTGATGTGCATTGGGCGGAGCTATCCTATCCTTTCTTTGCCTGTAATAAGCAGCTATATACGCTGTCATAAGTGGTTAAAAAAGTAGTTTTAATATGTTTTTAAGTGGAAAAAGTCCACCTTAAAACTTCATCTGTGCAGTCAGTTCATCAAGATTAGGATCCAGCCTTCAAAAATTGCTTCTCTGTCAAAGCATGCTGAGGGACCTTTTCCTGTGCCTTGATGTGCGTCAACCATTGACTTTGCATGTAAACTCACTGCTATTGCTGCCTCTGCTGCTTGCAGTCTGAACAAAGCATGAGGCATTAAAGTTTTATTAGAAAACATAAATGAACAAACATTATCATAAAGACCTAGAAACACAGCAGACAGGTCAGGTATAAAGCTGAAGAGAAGTTTAAAGCAGGTTTGGTCGTGAGACAATATTCTAATCTGTAAAAGATCTTACAGAGCAACAATTAATCGAGCAGCAAGCCTACTACACCTAGCCATTTTCTTTAGCCAACAGGGACATCAGTAGTAAAAGAGTCGAAGTCCCTGGTAACTCTGGAGGAGCTGCAGAGCTCCATAGATCAGATATGAAAGAAGGGAATAGATTTGTAACACATTTTAGTGTGGCTGAGAGGAGCCAACGGTCTGCAAATGCATATATACGCAGCAAATGCATAAAGTACAGTAAAACCTCTTTCCCACTGAAAATACCGCATTAATGCACGTTTCTCAAACATGGGTTGATGCGTTAATGATCGGCATTTGGCTCCCTTCCCACTAGCAGAAAAAGCTGTGTCTAACCCCTAGATCCCAAGCGTGTCTGGTGGCGCCATCATGCTGGGTTACCATTGATGATGTCACCAGTGCGACAGAAATCAGGAAAGTAAACAATGGAGAGCAAAAATGAAGGAAGCCAGGGCATAGTCAGCGTGCTTTATTGTTTCGCGCTATTATCCATTTACTACTTCTTTTCGTTCATGATTTCAGTTGTCACCTGCATTGGACCTGCTTTTTTATTTTTTATAAATGAAATAAAGAAGGGCATTTTAATAACATATTGTGTACAACTTATTCAGTACAAGTATATTTATTTGCGTAGTTTAACCATTATCCCCCTACTAATATTATCTAGAGACTACTAACATGAGGTGAAATGCAGCTTCAGACGAGCCGTGCGTGTGGTGATTTTTCAAAGACGCTTCTGTTCTAATCCACACAGCTTTGTTCTGTGTTCTCCCAAAGTCCATATTTCCCATGTTCTTTTCAAGAACTTGGCAAGGAAGCGAGTATTGACTCTTGTGAATTGTGAAACAGAGTGTGTTTATGGTTTAGACTCTTCGTCAAAAACACTCTCCTTTATGCAGGGCTCAGTTGCAGCCTTTTGTAACACTGTGCCATTTGCATGCGCTTTGTGTGTTGATTCTTCTTGTGTGTTTTTTGTGTTAGTTTTTTTATTTGCTGCTCACTCATGTACTTGCAGGGCGTCTGCACCAGTACCAGCATAGAAGAGTATAAGCATGACCTTCTTTTTAATCACTCGCTGTACCTTCCTAATAAGATTTCTCTTACTTGCTCTGCCCTACCTTCATGTAAAACCAACAACCTGCCTGTTTCTCTCCTAGATGTGATGGAGGACCTGTACAACTACGTCAACCCCTTAAACAAACGTCACTCCCCTATGATCTCCAAGGAGACACTCGACATTGTCCTTGAAAACAAATCTGTAAGTCAACATGGGACAGCGCCTAATGTTTAGGCTTTTTATGTTCATCTTGAACTGTTTACATGAATGTAATAACCACCAATCTTTGCAGGTCCTCAACTCAGCCATCATTTACGACAGAGACTTCTCCTACAACTTCTTTGGTTTTAAGGTAAGATGTTTTGCTCTCTTTGGTAGTCGCATTTCAAACATTTAGCAGAGACACTGACAGATTTTTTTTTTTTGCCCTTGTAGACTCTTGAGCGTTCCTATTTGCTGAAGATCAATGGCAAAGGTGCGTTTCCTCACCTTTTCAGAGCTGACTGCAGAAGTATGGTTCAAGTCATATATCATTCTATAATCTTAAACTGTTTTTCTTTCTTTTTTTAGTTGCAGAGAGACCCCAGCACATGCTGATGAGAGTGGCAGTCGGGATTCATAAAGATGACATTGATGCAGCTGTTGAAACTTACAACCTGCTTTCAGAGAAGTGGTTCACCCATGCCTCTCCTACCCTGTTCAACGCAGGCACCAACAGGCCTCAGCTGTCCAGGTAACGAAGGAAAAGCTCCTGTTAGAGGTTCACCTTCACTCATCAAGGGGATGAATAACCTTTACTTTCTTCTTCTTTTTTTTTCCTATTCGGGCAATTTCACAACAAATAACGCAAGATTTGAGGCAGAAGCTTCATTTATTGGGGATTTTCTTGGATCCATACTGGATTTACAGGCTCGGCTATAAAAAAATTTTTACGATTGACATTTTTGTTTGTGCTTCAGTATTTGAAAACTCTTCTCATTAGAGCTTGTAAAACTGTAAATGGTCTAGTTTCCTGTTAACTATCAAGTTGAACGTCAGCTTTCTTAATCCATCTGAAAGTTGGACTATTTTTGTCCAATTTTCAGCCGTCTATCTGTTGACTTGAGTAAGATTTGGAAGTTTTCCTCTTTCTCCAGTATATCCAGTTATTAAACAATCCCACAGCATGATGCTGCCATCACCACCTCTGACAGATGGTACCATGCTTCCAGGTTCAACACATCTCCTGTGTTGCGGTGGCCCAATGGATCAATCTTTGTGTTGTCTAACCACCATGCTGGCAGGCTGCTACCAATTTTGGTTCAGTTTTAACTCAGATGTGTTCGTTTTTGTCTTTATTTATAAAAACGGGAAAAGATCAAAAGATGGGGCCTGAATCGGTCGGCATAATTTAAGGATAGTTTCTGATCTGCAGAACATTGAAAAAACATAAATGTTAACATTAAACCAACGAATACTGCAAACAACACAGACATACCGCATTTGCATTGCTCTAAAGATGCGCAGGGAAAAGTGTCCAGCAGATGGCGCCCAAGCTTTAGTGTAGAAAAAGCTCAATTTCTGCTGAAACAGTTTTTTAAAGCTGGTAGATGCAGATGGACCAAGTGGATCAGACATTTTTATGGTTTTTAGGTCGCAATGTAACAAACTGCATAATCAGCACAATTTAGAACCACTTTAAAATCTGTGACAAAATAAACAAGATATTTACTTTGTTGTTTGCTCTTCTGATTTCTGTCACACTGGTGACATCATCAACGCTAACCCAGCTGCAGAGGAAAGAGGTCACACAGCTACCAGCTTGGGTTAGACCCATTTTTGCCAATAGGAAGGCAGCCAAAGGCTGATTGTTGGCGGGTCGACCCATGTTTGAAAAACACGCCATAACGCAGTATTTTCAGTCGGAAAGAGACTTATGATTAGATGTACTCTCAGTCAGGAGAAATACACACATTCTGTTTCCCAAACATTTATTTTCAGATGTTTTACCTTAAAAAAGAAACATGATAAATTATTTACATTTAACATATATTTTAACTTTGATTTGAAAGAAATCATTCAAGCATGAAAAAAGTTTTTTTTATGCAGTTCATATATTAATGAAAATCCCAAAGTGCTACAAGAGTAAAACAAATATATAAAAAACATAAGATAAGACATCATTAGGCTACAAATGCCTTTTTAAAATGAGAAGCTTTGAAGCTCTTCAGTGTCTGTGGGACCTTAAGCTGGTCTGGAATAGGCAGGCAGTTCAGTAGCCTATCAGTGCTGGTGGCTGGTCCTGGGGGTTTTATCCTAAATCTGGAGGGGGAAGCCAGCAGGTTTCTCACCAGCTTTTTCACTGTTGAACTGTTGAAACTCTAATAAAGACTGCATCACACTTGAAAACATATTTGCACTACCAAAATGGCTTTTTTTTCATAACCCTTTTAAATAGAACACAACTGATTGTTCTACAGGTGCTGGTCATAAAATTAGAATATCATGAAAAAGTAGATTGATTTCAGTAATTCCATTTAAAAAGTGAAACTTGTATATTATATTC